AAGATCAATGTAACATCCGACCTAATCCAGGAGATTGAAATGAAAGATAATCAAGGCGATCAATAGAAGTATCACAATCATAGTTATAGTAAAGAATTTTGTAGCAAGAAGTGCTACATACTAGAATATGATTATATTACATTAGAACATGAAGGAAGGTTACTTACATAATAGTATTATACAATTAAAGATGAGAGTTTGGTTCGTTGTGTGTCTCTTATATTATGCAATTGAAAGTCATTGGAATATGACCATTCGAATTGTGGTTATAATAAAGAAAGGATTTTACCTTGGGTTTAGTATATAAACCAAGAAGGAGCAGAAGTCTGCAATGAGAATTAAGTTTTAACTCAAAGATTAGAATTAAAGATTCAATAGTGTATAAGAGCGGGTACAAGTTTGAGCATCGCTATTAATGAAGAAGTTTGAAAAGTTTAAATAATAATTTGATAAATCAAAAGTTAAAAATAGTACATTTTAGATTGCCACAAAAGAGATACATTAGGACCTAGATGTTATGACTGGTACATTTCTCGTCAACCCTCAGCCTACTCACATCAAATTTGATTCGGTTGTCTCAAATTCTTTTATGTCTTGAGAATTCGCGTATTCATTTCAAATTTCTTGTTACGTATTTGTCTAAATTATTTCATGTAGATACCGTAGGAAGGGTATCATTAATTGCTGATAAAGTCTATAGAGATTATGTCATAGGAATTAAAGGTTATAATCTACTTGCTGACCTGATTCCTATCTTCCTGCCCAAATTTGATATTATTCTCGACATGGATCGATTATTAAAGAACCACGCATAACACTTGTGCTATAAAGAGATAGTCAGCATCCCTATCGAAAGGGAGGATTCTATTTATGTCTATGGTAAAATTAATAAATTTCTTTCTTAAAAACTCGTAAATTTATATCGAAGAGATATTCTACTTATCCGACTTATACAGTTAATACCTTGAAAGAGAAGAAGAAAACTGTGAATGATAGCATTTGGGAAATTGTCGACCGGCTAATTAGAGTGCATATTTTCTCGCTATACGTGAAACGACTTCACTGGAGAAATATGCACGAGTATACTTGGACGAAGTTGTGGAAAGACAAATGTGTGTCACTAAAGATTAGTTCCAATTGTGATACTCACTTAACTCTTGATCGAGTATGCAACAAGAATTGGAATCTCAAATGACTCTTCGTACAACTTATCAACCCCAGACAAATAGTAAGATAGAAAGAACAATCCAAATTGTAGAAGATATGCTTCGTGAATATGTCTTGGAGTTCGGTGGTAACCGGGACAAGTATTTTCTCTTGTCAAATTTTCGTATAATAACAGTTACCACACTTCAATCAAAATACTACCATATGAAGTACTATATGAGTGCAAGTATCGTACTCCATTATGTTAGCAAGACATAGGACAGAAGATCCTTGGAGGCCCTAAAATGATTCAAGACACCACCGAAAAGATTCAAATTTTACAAGAAAGAATGAAAGCGGCCCAGGATCGACCAATGTCCTATGCAGAAAAGAGGAGACAACCCGTAGAATTCCGGGTGGATGGTCTAGTAATACTAAAGGTATTTCATGGAAAGGCGTTATGCTACTTTGGAAGAAAGAACGGTTGGTAAGAAAGCATACTGCTTGGAATTGCCTAAAGAGTTGTCAAGTATACATGACGTGTTTCATGTGAGTTATTTACATAATTATTTGAAGCGTATATGATGAAACAATACCATTATCCGAGGTGAAACTGGATAATAAGTTAAGATATGTAGAAGAGATCGTCAATAAAAGAATGACTAATCTATGTAATAAAGAAGTGAAGTTGGTGTTTGTCAAGTGGAAACACCATCAAGGCCCAAATTAAACTTGGGAGAATAAGAATGACATAAGAGTAGAATACCCTCATTTTAATCATTATGATTTCGGGGACGAAATCCTCAAAAGGAGGAGGTATTTGTAACATACACGTTCAGTTATCGTGTATTGTAAAATATAAAAGAGAATAATATTATGTGAGATTTTGTGTTGAGTGCTAACAGATAGTTTTTACTAAAAATGAAATGTTTAGAATCACTCATAAAATATTGAAAGTCTTATGAGATTCCAATTAATAGCTAAATAATGAAAATTTAGCGAAAATATGAAATTTGAAATAAGTAAAATTTTATTATTTGATGTTGTACAGAGTCTCGTTAGAAGTGTTTAGGCGTAAACCTCGTCGAAATCCGACTTATAAGGAAGAAGTTATGACAAATCGAAGATCCGCGACAAAACCAGCACAACGCTGAATGACGTCAAAAGTGAGTCTTTGATAAACTACTTTTTAGCCTTAGTAATCTAAATGAAAGTCGTAGTATTCGTTAAACCGAGAAGTTCGATAAAAAGAACGCCAAAATCTGACTTCGTATGAGGAAGTTATGATTTTTCGAAGTTTCAGCATAGCAGTAGACAGCTAAAAACTCGAATTCTAGATCGAGTGATTTTTAGCCGACAGAAACTAAATGTGAATTGAAGGTCTCACCATTATTAGTACACCGGTAAAAAGTCTGACAAAAACGGATGTCGGATGAAGAAGTTATGAATTTTTAACGGATTTTCCTGTCCCGGTCTGTTAAAAATAATAATATTAAAAGTAAAGTCAAAATTAGTCGACGAAGTCTAAACGAAAGTTGTAGAGCAGAACTTTAGCTACGCGTGCATATAAATAACATCAAAAAACGGAGCCTATATGCGAAAGTTATGGATTTTAGAAGTTTGGGGCACATTTTCCAAGAATTTTCGCATAGAATAAGATCGACCATGTCGCCTCGCTCCGAGCATGCCGCGTGTCCAAGTCGTGGAGGTGTCCAATGCGGGCCACGTTACTCTTCCCTGCGATCCGCCTCGTGTCCGAAGCGTTGTACCACTCCGAAGCCGACACGTGTAGCCTCGCTGTCCGATGCGTGCTTGTCTTGGAGTTGAGCCATCTTGCGCCTTTCGCTGTTGCTGCGTGCCCCTCTCGGATCCGAAGACGCCTCGCATAAGACGCATGTCCCTTCTCCTTTGCTGCCACCTGCTTCACTGAGTCACCCTTCTAGACCGACCTTCACCCTATAAATAGGAGACATGCGAAATTGGCCGGGTAAAATTGGATTTTTGCCAAATTTTACCCCTTTCTCCATATTCTGACTATTTTGACATCCCCCGAACCCCCGGTGTCGATTTTAGCAACTGAAACACGACTCAAAGTGCTCGGAGATCATGAAAATTTTATCTTTTCGGTTTTGATGCTCTACTTTCGCAGAGCTTGGTTTTCAATAAATCTCCGGGTTTTCAACGAATAAAGTCATATTTAGAGCCGAAATGCTACACAAATTATTATTTTGACCCCCGGATTATTTCAAGGTGAGTTTAATATATAGGAACAATTGTATGCTATGTGTTATATGTGCTATGTGCTTTTCTGTGTTATTATTCCAATTATTTTTCCGTGTTATTTTTATTCGCTATTTTGAATATCAAAGTTATACCTTTGACGATGTGATAAGTGAAACGACATAGATTCACGATGGTACTGGTATGTAGCCTCTGGCCATGTAGAACATGTCTAATAAGAGAATGACTTCTATTCTATGGCATTGGTAGAAGGTTACATAGGACTGGTATGTAGCCTCTGACCATGTAGAACATGACTCCGTAAGAGAATGACCTCTATTCTATGGTATTGGCAAATGGTTAGACAGGGCTATAAGCCTGAAATCAACCAAAAGGTTAATCAGAAATTATATGTCTTTTGTGCCATTTGGGCCAAAACTTTATTGATGCATATCAAGCATGGAAATCGTTATGTCTCATTGATCGTAAATCTTTGAATCAAATCTTGAGTTGATATTGAAAGCCTGACATATGACACCCATAGGCTATTGTTGTTATTGTTCCCTTTTACTTCTGTCATATTGGTATATATAAGACATAAGATTATATTGTATCTATTTATTGAATTCACTATGCGTTATCTATTATCCCTCTCAATGTTTAACAATTACAGGTGATGAGTATCCAGTATAGTTTTATACTGCTGAAAGCTTTAGAATAGTTAATACTATTTCTCTATATTTTAATGTTCATGTATATATGAATACTAGATTCCTGGGTAGATATGTAATGTAATAAAACTTAGTCAGTTTGTATCCAATCTTTTGTAATCACTTTATCAATATAAAGTATTGTTTTATAAATATGCATGTAGCATGTTTTGAGGAAGTAACTTAAGAATAATGTTGGAATAGTATGAAAGTTGGGGTCTTTCAGAAATACGAAAGTTGGGGTCTTTAAGTTACAGTAGGTAGAAATTTTGTTAGGATTGATAATACGTTATTAGTTAAATAGAGGAACATTTACTATAATTCTACGAAACGTCTATATGATTAACTAACTGAATTGCATCATTCATATGATATTTGCAAAGAACAGTATCAAAAGTTACTTCTTTTCTTAGCTTATGAGAGAGAAATTACCCCCCCCCCCGGTACACACATCGTATGAGGTATCAAAGACCAATTATGATTGACTTGTCCGTTTGATTTCATTCGCTATGAACTTTGTTTTACTTCAATTGTTGTTAAAAAAAATTTAGGATCAATTTTGATTTGCTATTGCGATTTGTGTTTCTATTGTGATTCAACAAGATCGTTTTTCAGATTTTTACTATTGCTTATGGCTGAAATCGCATCAGGATTCATGAACGTGAACAATACAGATTTCGTGAATGCCTTGCATGAAGTCTTGCGTGGATTGCAAGAAGAAGGATGATGACAGTAACCAAGGAAGGTTGGGGACGTCAACACGAACGATTTACCGAAGTTCATTTGTGGATTCAATCCATAAGTGTGTGTGTGCCTATATATATATATACATATATATATATATATATATATATATATATATATATATATATATTGGGAAGAGAAAATTGAAACTGTTTTAAGTTCAAAGGGTTGGATGATGAGATGAATTGCAAATATGCGATCCTGAAGTTGAAGGGAGGAGCTTCGATATGGTTCCAAGACTTAAAAAGAAGGAGAGCGTGTGAAGGAATGATGAAAATCTCATCATTGGAATCTCTAATATACAAAATCAAAATAAGGTATGTTCCTGCACATCACCGAATCACAAATTATCTAAAATTTTCTAAATCCTGGCTAAGCAAATTGGATGTGATCGATTTAGATGAATCGTTGGGAGAGACCGTTGTGATTGAAGTACATACCATTGTGAAAGAATCTTCTATTGTGACTGTTGAAGAATATGATGTGATTAAGAATGCTCGTGAAGATGAAGAAGTATTGGAGAACACCTTCATCTACAAGACTGCACTTTGGTATGAACTAGAAAACAACATTGACAAGATGTCACTCCCTAAAGGTGAAATAGCAGAAGATGAGGAGAAATATAATGTGGCTGATGTTATTGATATATATGGGAAACAATAAATCATTGAAGAAATTAATTTGGTAGCTGAAAATGAAATTAAAGAAACAGGTGTTGATGATTTTGATCCTATATATGACATCGAGGATGAGGAAGAAATGTTTGATGAAGAAATTGGTAAAGTGATTATGAAAGCAGTCAATGTTGCTGATGTGGACGAAAGTGTTAAATACTTTATCCTTATCTACGATACTGATTGGGAAGAAGAATTTTGTTGAAAGGATTAATATTTTTCTTGGAAAAGAATTATTGAAACGATTTTGTTAGAAAATGATTTTGTTAATACGTACAAATTTGTTGAAGAACAGGTTGAAAAGGTTGAAGAACTGTAGTGGATGGTTCAAAAAGAAGACCTAAATGTGAGTTTGCTCAAAGGGTTTCAACGTGCGACTTTATAGGATGAGGTTGCATGTCATTGCGATCCGGAGGAGGCTAAAGCATTGCGAAAGGAACATGTATATGTGGAGGAAAGATGTGACAACCCGAACTTCGTTCCATTATTTGAAACCCGTTTTCGTTAAAAAAGCCGTTAAGTTCCAAAATTTTCCGTTAACTTTGTTTTAATTAAATTATTGCGGCTTCTATTAATGTTTTAATAATGTTAGAATAAATTTTAAAAACATTAAAATATTTTCTATTTCATTTAGAAAATATTTAGTTTTATTTAAGTCGTAATTACGGCAACTTTATCGGGTGCGACCAAAAGCACCGTCTAACGGCAGTATCGGGTAGAATTCCTCTGGGCCACAAACTCAACCCCTATATAAGGGATTGAATGGCATCATTTTGAGACTTTTACTCTCTCTCTAAAAACTTTCTCTCACTACTCTCTCTAGAACTCGAAATTAGTCCAAAAGCCTCCTTTCAAGCCTCAATTTGGTAAGCAATCTACCCTAACTTGTTAAGTAACTTGATTGGCATGAAAATCTATGTTTGACTCACCCAAAAACACCCATTAACAAGTTTTTATAGTCTACGGACCCTCCCAAAACCGTGAACACCCCTTGAGAGGGTTTTGAAGCCCCAAAATTCCTCTAAGACACTTCTAGGGCTTAGATTCGACTTAGAAACTTGCATGCATGTACAAAGGACCCCAAAATCATGACATATAATGTATGGACATGACTTTACATCCCAAGCATGTTCTTGGACCATGAACCCTCATTCATGGACCATAAACTCATGTTAATGAGTCAAAATGCCCTTAAACACCTTCAAAATGCTTCCATGGGAGTGTACAACCTCATAAACCTTCATGTGATGCACCAAAACATCCTCAAATGCATCAAACTTGAGTTTACGGCCCAATAACATTCTTGGACCATAAACCCACCTCCTTAGACCGTAAACACCCAACAAAGGGTGTTAAGGTGCCTTTAATCCCTTGAAAAGCTTAGTTTTGGATCTAGAATCACATGTGATTGAATTACAACCATCAAAGCACTTAATTCATGGACAAACATGAGTTTACGGTTGTAAACTTATGAGTTTAAGGTAGTAAACTCCCCAAGAACATCTCCTTAGACCTTAAACTCATTTCCAAGACCATTTCAAGTCCCGATTACTTCCTAAGCCATGAAATCGACCCTAGAACCTTCCTGTGTGCATTGTAAGACTTTGTGGCATCCAAGAACACACCAACCATGAGTTTACGGCTGTAAAATCATGGGTAATGAGTCATTAGAACTGCAAACCCTCTTATGAGTTTACTCTTGAGGAGTAAACTCCATATCCGAGCCTTATACGTCCCTAGATGTCACCCGGGTCACTCCAAACACTTGATTTGAAGTGTTTTTGCGTCTTGGAGTGTATAATCATATCTAATTAGTGATTTAAAGTCTAATTAGGTATATTTGAATATCATTTCATATTACATAGCAACCTCACGCATTATCAAGCCCCAGACCGACACTTAGCATCCAATCCGACACGCTTCTCGACCGGTGAGTTCATACCCCTACCCTTTTTCAATGATTTTTAAATGTTTTCAGGGGGGAGGGGAATACAAGGAAAAGTGCAAGGATATCTTGTACTTAAATTCATTATTTCATTTTAAATGGTTTCATAATTCTCACACTTTTAAGAATTGAAAACTTACTAACAAACTGTTTTAACTCGTAGAGTTGTTTGTTCAAACCGATTTTCAATTCTTATTATATACTGTTATGTTGTATGCTTTACAATTGATTGTTCACACTTATATTGATTGAGATTAAAAATCATATGTAAAGTTTGTAATAAAATACCCTAAGCACGAGTATAAAAGACAGACACCATTAGAAAACATAAATCAATCGTAATGTCCTTAATAACACACCTAGGCTTGAGTGTAAAGGATAGACACCTTTTGAATACATAAAACATTTTAATGTCCTTAATAAAACACCTAGGCTCGAGTGTAAAGGACATGATCCATTAGAACTTAGATAGCCACAGATACTACTTCCCTAGGCACGAGAAGTAAAGGGAAATCTTAAAGATTGGAGACACGTCCTCTGTAACACTTCCTTGGCTCGAGAGAGTGGAGGACTACCTCTGTAACCAGAATCTCCGAACGTAGGAGAGCGTGGCTTGAGTGTATAGATATATACGGGACTGACAATCCCGCACCTGGCTGCTAGCTACAGTCGAACCGAAAGGTTCAAGGGTGACGAAAGTCATAAAAAGGATACTGGACCTGGCCCGAGTCATATCTAGTCTGAAGTATGGTTAAGGACTCGCAATCAAGATTATTAACACTTTACACTTATTTATTAGTTTTATGTACGTAATAAAACTAATGTACATTTAAGGATAATCGAAATCGGTAACAGTTCACACACACACATTCAGGAAAACATGGGGTTTTCCTGGGGATAACATTGAACATAATCGGAATCGGTAACAATTCACACACACATTCAGGAAAACATGGGGTTTTCCTAGGGATAACATTGAACATAATCGGAATCGGTCACAGTTCACACACACACATTCAGGAAAGCATGGGGTTTTCCGGGGGATAACATTGAACATAATTGGAATCGGTAACAATTCACACACACACATTCAGGAAAACATAGGGTTTTCCTAGGGATAACATTGAACATAATCGGAATCGGTAACAATTCACACACACATTCAGGAAAACATGGGGTTTTCCTTGGGATAACATTGAACATAATCAGAATCGGTGGCAATTCACACACACACATTCAGGAAAACATGGGGTTTTCCTAGGGATAACATTGAACATAATTGGAATCGGTAACAGTTCACACACACACATTCAGGAAAACATGGGGTTTTCCGGGGGATAACATTGAACATAATCAGAATCGGTAACAATTCACACACACACATTCAGGAAAACATGGGGTTTTCCTAGGGATAACATTGAACATAATCGGAATCGGTAACAATTAACACACACTCATTCAGGAAAACATGGGGTTTTCCTGGGGATAACATTGAACATAATCGGAATCGGTAACAATTCACACACATACATTCAGGAAAACATGGGGTTTTCCTGGGGATAACATTGAACATAATTGGAATCGGTAACAGCTCACACACCCACACATTCAGGAAAACATGGGGTTTTCCTGGGGATAACATTGAACATAATCAGAATCGGTAATAGTACACACACATGTAGGAAAATATAGGATTTTCCTGAGTAACAGTAGTACTTAACCAGAAAAGTATAACAAAGTTAGATAACTAAACTTTACAATTCACGAGAACAATTATGATTTCAGCGTACATCTTTTACATTACAATTTGGATTTGGTAAACATTACTTTTAAGAAAATATGGGATTTTCTTGGATAACCGATTTTTCAGGAAACCAAAGGAACTTGTACAATTTTCAGAAAACTAACCGCTTATAAACTCACCAGCTTTATGCTGATTTTCAAACCGCTTGTATTCTCAGGTCCGCATTAGACAGGTACCCGACGATCACTTTTGGCGAAGACAGAGTGCGTAGATGTTGTTCATATATACTATGTATCATACTTGTACAATTTACTTTTGAAACAAATGTAAACTTTTATATATGTAATGTAATGGTTGTTTACTTTGCTTACTATGTGCATTGGTTTGATACTCAACGTGGAGCCTGCCCGGAAATGTTTCCGCCTTTGGTTTTCAGGGTGTGACAAAATACATCTTGGAGAAAAAGTTCACATCATTGCGATTGGAGAAAAAGCCACATTGTAAATTGTTGTATCATTACGATTGGTAGCATCATTGTGACTGGTCACATCGTTGGGATTTGATGCGCTGATGCATTTTTGTGACTGGGTTAGTTGCGTCCTTGTGATTGGAAGGGAGTCACTATCATTGCGATTGATTTAGATTTCTTATGAAGTTGCTTAGAGTGGATAAAGAGGATTATGGTTACTAATCCTACATTATTATATTTCAAGTTCAAGAACATTGATCGTGGGATAATCCTATTGTGCAAAACCATATCTTAGGAAGATGCTTCTGTCCATAGTTTGCACTTTTCACAAGTGTTCAAATTATTTTTGAGCAGGTTTGTGATGATATATTTGAACGATATTTTGGTGTATGGTCGAGATGAAGATGAACTTTTGAAAAAAAGTGTTTAAAGCTCTTAGAGAAATCTATGATAAGAAGGAGTAATGTTTGTTTATGTTCTTAAAGTGTGTTCTTGCGACGGTGAAAGTTTTGATTAATTAGCCCAACTTAGAGCAATCAAGTTATGGACGAGCCCTTGGAGTATAACAGGTTTCATCATAATAACTAGTCCACCCACTAGTTATTTAAAAGGTATTGTTGTATGGAGAGAGGATGTTGAAAAGTCTTTTGAGCTAGTTAATTAGCCCAACTTTCACAATCTTATACATTATTTGTTACCCTTAATTTTCGATTGTTGAGTTTTGAAACTTTAAAAGGTTATTATGGTGGTTTGCCCAAAATAATGCAAGTATTGATGCAACTTCTATGGGTCAAAAGGAAATTAAGATTGATTCCATGAGTGCTTCTAAGTCCAAGCGAATGGTTAGTTTAAAGAAAGAAGAATTTATTGATAATGTTAAAACTAATTTTAAGAAAGGTGATGATTAGAGATATCCTTCATTTGAAAGAAGAGACTAGCTTGGAAGGATCGTATGGAAGGTTCATGTGCAAAAACATTTTTATGAAGTTCTTTCTAAATTGAGGACAATTACTTTCCAAGGGGGAGGGGATGGCAGCGAATGCAAAA